TGCGGCTAGTAAAAATACTGTATATGAGTCCTATACACGACGCAACTCATTAATAAAACATGACGTGGCTCAGTAAAAATACATGACGAGGCTAAAGAGTCCTACACAATGCGGCTCAGTAAATGATTGATGAATTATACAGGTAAATTTTGTAATACCCAATGTTTTGGATTTTCTTTGAGTTGCTCCAAAATAATAATACTGTATATGCAATAGCAAATAGCAAAATACATGACAAAAATCCTATCGCACAAATGTAAGTCCAAACACAGAATTACACAACGCGGCTCAGTAAAAATACATGACTCAGCTCACCAAAATACATGACGCGGCTCAGCAAAATACATGACTTGGCTCAGCAAAATACATGACTCGGCTCAGCAGAATATACCTATATATGAGATTTCCAAGTTTCTGAATAGCATTTTTCTTGACTTTTAGTGAAGCCTTTCATTGCATTCTAATGTGAACACAAACTTTTTTAATAATGTCACCAAGAAACTTCAAAAGATTGCTGAATCTTTCACACAATTTTGGGCAGGACCAGAATAAAATATTCAACTTTTCATCCACTCTAGGGTTCCTTCAGAAAAGCAAATTTTTTTTATTCAAAGTGCTCATCCTGGGCACGACATTTGTAAAAATATCACAAAGTTATAGCCATACATGTGTTTAAATTCTGTGAGTTTTTGAATAAATGGAATAAGTGAATGAAATTTTTACATGCAATCCAAGTTACAGTTGAAATTGTGATGAGAAATTTCTGTTTCACAAAGCAGACACATACTGAACTTCTTCATCATTAATTTATTTTATCATGTACATCTTTTGTGCCATGAGTGGAACAACTAATATGGTTGTGCCCTCTTAACCAAACACTTCAAATTAAATCTCAATTGTACTTGGTTTTATGTTGGAGCATATACATATGGAGCAGCCATATAGTATATAATGCTGTAGTTTTGTGATTAATTTTTTAAATTAATTTCATACTGGAATTCATTGAAATAGGGGCCATAACTTCAGAGTGCATCTAAAAGAGATGAATCAAGACCTATCATGATTACTAAGTGCAGTATTTTGATGAAATGAGGAGAAAACTTTTGAAGGAAATAGGTATTGCCTTTCATTAAACCTATCTTTGTACTAGTAAAAATTCTGTATGCAGTACTTCTTTCTGAATCAACTTCTTTGCTCATATACCTTTCTGCTCTTTCAAAGAGAAGAACATATCTTCTAGGATACTGTTTCTTTGAAAGAAAGGCATAAAACTAAAAATGAAGCTAAATAATTTCCAAGATTTTGTATATTTTTTGAACCCCTATCTTTCTCTACAAAAATCTTTAGTCTCTCAAGAAATCAGAATGGTGCATCCTTTCCTTCAATTAAATGAGCTCATCAAAATGACATTTCTATAAAATGGTGCCTATGGAGAAAGTGAGAAACTGCCAGGACAAAAAAATTATCAAAAAATTTATTGTAATCAGATTCATTTTGATGGAATTCTACCATATGTGTGAGTGAATTCTAGCCTCAGCAATCCTATGTTCTTCACAAATTATACTTTTAATTGTGCAAGGAAAAATTCACATTTCCTTCTTGCAAAGGAAAAGTAGGCCCATTTTTTTGGTGCAGCATCAGGCCAAAATTTGGTTTAATCCGGCCCTGAATGGCATTACCCATTGTCACAATATTTACTTGGGTTCTCTAGGCCAGATATGGGATTCAAGGTATACACATTCACCTTAAACATGGACTTTCACTAGGAAGAAAATAGATGGCAACCGTGCTATTTTTTATATTCAGTGAATGTGTCAAAGTTTGGAAAATTTTTGTTTTTCAACTTTAAAAATTGTGAAAATTGACAAAGTTATTCTCACAAATATTGAATTAATTTTTAAAATCTGTGAAAAAATCAGGAAAAAAGTTTTTCGTGAAGCAAACACTATCAATGGAATTTTCAGCATTGCACTATACCCCTCAAGACTCCCTCCCACTTGAAATTGAAAATTTTGAACCAGTAGCCTGTGCACCACTTATTTAGCTACAATATCCTATTACTCCTGCTATCACACACAGCATAAGGTTTGGCTTTTGTTTGGACTATGGTCCCTTTAGCTACAATATCCTATTACTCCTGCTATCACACACAGCATAAGGCATTTGTTTGGACTATGGTCCCTCCCTGCTGTTCCCCCCAGGGGGGGGGGTGTTGGGGATGGAAGGGAATTGAGCACACAAAAACCTAGAAAAGTGGCAGCAACTTTAACAGATTAGGAGAGTAGGGTACCCAGCCACACCTGAGCAATGTGCATAAAACTGATGGTCCATGGCATGTAACCAGCTTTAATCATGCAATATTTTCAAATTCTTTACATAATGTGTACTATGTAACAATAATACACCCACATTCGGCTGGGCACTCCAAGTTGGGACTGTAACAAGTAATAAAATCACCCTGCTCATGTGTCAGTTGTGGCCCACCAGGCCATAACTGACACTTGCATGAGGGCACCCCCTCTTCCACATATTAATTTCTGTAGTACATCAAAGTTTTCAAAACTAAAATGTGTCCAATGCCCAGGTGTGGCTGGGCATAACCAACACGTCACACAAAGTCAAAGCAGAAATAAAAATGTAAAAATTGATTTATTTGATGTAATTCACCAAACATATCCTTGATCAAACACTGAATAAGGTACCTAAACTAGGCAATTAAAGAAGAATTAATGATCACAATGATATCATCAAATTAATATTCAATTCATTTGATACATGAACACAATAAGTCAGCCAAAAAAATAAGTCGCCAGGTTGAATCTTTGGCAATCTATATAAGGCTGGGATTCAATTGAGGTAGTGCAATTAAGGAGTGCTGAGCCGCATGATGTATTTTGGCTGAGCCACGTTGTGGTGTGTGTGTAGGACTTTTGAGCCACGTCATGTTTTTTGCAGAGCCGCGTCGTGTTGAGCCGCACCATGTATATTTACTAAGCCGCGTCGTCTGCAGGACTTCTGAGCCACGTTGTGTATTTTGATGAGCCGCGTCATGTACTTTGAGTAGTGGTGTGATAGGACTTTTGATCCACGTCATGTTTTATCATTTAGTGAGCCGCATCGTGTGTAGGACTCTTTAGCCGTGTCATGTATTTTTACTGAGCCACGTCTTGCTGAGTTGCGTCGTGTGTATAGGACTCATGTACAGTATTTTCACTGGCCACGTCATGTCATGTTTTATTAATGAGTTGCGTTGTGTGTAGGACTCATGTACAGTATTTTTACTGAGTCACGTCATGTCATGTTTTATTAATGAGTCAGGTGTGTAGGACTCATGTACAGTATTTTTATATACTGCATCATGTATTTATCATTCAAGTGGAATACATGAAGTTTTTCAACCTGTGCTTGTTGTAATTGTTTGGACTTCTATTCAATTGAAGCAATTTTTTAAATCAATAAAGCATCATGTTTTATTACTGAGTTGCGTCATGTATAGGACTCATGTACAGTATTTTTACTGGCCGCATCATGTATTTCTGTATTTTTACTGAGTTGCGTCATGTCATGTTTTATCAATGAGTCAGGTGTGTAGGACTCATGCACAGTATTTTTATATACTGCATCATGCATTTATCATTCAAGTGGAATACATGAAGTTTTTCAACTTGTGCTTGTTGTAATTGTTTTGACTTCTATTCAATTGAAGCAATTTTTTAAATCAATAAAAATTGACTCCACAGCGTAGCCCCCGCTTGTTGGATTTAAAAATAAAATATTCAATTTAAAACACCATCGTTTTTAATTTCTTCCCACACGCAAAGACACGCAAAGAAAGGACACACAAAGTAACCTCACGCTTGCCGCTTAGTTGCTGGTGACGTAGCATTTGAAGTCACTCTTTTGTCCTTGCCAGGGTTGTTGTCCATGTTGGTTCCAAAGCTGTAAGAAAGCAAAGTACAGATAGAGGGCAGCAGGGGTAGAATAATGGCCGCGCGCATGGGCGCGCACAGTGCGTTCCACTGGCATAGCTAAAGTACACTAGACCAGACTTTTTCTCAATTATCAGTCAGATAATAGAAATCCGTTTGAACAAGCGAAGGCTGTGCCTGACTTCGCCTAAATCTTCAAGCAGAATTTGTGTCTTTGGTTGCTCAAAGTTCCTAGTCCTAGAAGTAGGAACTTCACATGGAAGATCAAAGTTCATGTATATTTTTCAATCTGTTGCTATGCATTGGTCGTCGACTGGGACTGTTCGTTTCTTCGTTAGATTCGGTCTGCTTTACTTGATTGCTGGCCGTGAGGAAGTATCTGTTTGTATTTTTAATCTGCTAATGCAAGCTTTTTATGGAGTCATTCGGTGTTGTTCAAACGTATTCTCAGATTCCCGTGCCATCAAGAAATAAAGATTTGACAGTCGTGACGAAACCCCGCGTTATTAGCTTTCCTTGAGAAGGTTTATGTGATGCTGAATTTATCGCTCCTTCTGTATTCATTAAAGAATCGAAGCTCGATTTTCTGTTGGCTTCGAATTTACAGAACGTCTCCGGTCTTGAACGCGATGCTCAATTGATTTATGTTATTTTTGCAGAGATGGGACTGGGACATGACTGTCGATGATCGCTCCAGTGGTGTTTTATCGCGGCAGGACAGGAGACTTTTGCATGAAAGTCTCTCGAGCAGCGACTGCAAACCTCTGCCACAGATGCCTGTGATATGGATGTGCGCGCTTTTGTACCGGAAGCTGAGTTAGTGCCCTGCGATGCATTTCTGGTGCGTCGAAAGAAGTCTCCATCGCTGCTCGCGTGTAGTGCAGTCGAGGCCGGCCTGAGCTTGTGAAAACATTGGACTGGAAGCAGTTGTGCGGTGTGCTTGTCTGCAGTTATGGTTGAGAGCCATCCACCACTCTGATCTCTGTGGCTTTTGTTTACCAAAGCTTTTTACTGTACTTGAATTTTGATTGACCGCTGGATCAGCTTTGATTTCGCCTTGCTGCCAAAATCATGGCAAATGCAATCAAAGAGATCGTCAGCAAAAACAAGAAACGCTACAAAGGAGATGGATTCGATTTGGACCTGGCGTGTATCCTTTTCAAAGTTGTTCTTTTTTTATTTCGCTGGTGTCGGCCGCAAAAAAAAAAAAAAAGTCCACCCTTCTCACCGAGATTTCATTCTTAATTTTGCATATGCGTAATAAACCTTGACTATGATATACAGACATCAATTCCAATATCATTGCAATGGGGTATCCCGCGGAGAAGCTGGAGGGCATTTATCGGAACCACATTGATGACGTTATCAAGTTTCTGGAATCAAAGCACAGTGGAAATTACTGGATATACAACTTGTGAGTATCACATGGTAAAGCATTCGCGTCGGAACACGTTATTACCGCAGTGTCGAGTCACTGTGGCGATAACAATGTTTATCTCTGCTTTTTTCCTGCATTGTTAGATTTATAGTTCTGTGCATGCTGACGAGCTTGTTGTGCTTATCTCAAAGCGTTTCATGAGTACCCATGAAACTTCAAATGTTCTCTCGAAACTTCTCATCATCTTCAATGGTTCTATGTATTATATTAGTGCTCTACATTTTTATTTCCGAACATTTGATGAAAAGATCGGCTTGTAGTTGAAATGTTACCCCGGTTTAAGTCATGATACGATACTGAATATTTTTAATCCGGGTAACTCTTGTCGAAGTTACCAAGCCCACTGTATATGTACTAAATAGTACAGTACTTCGTTACATTCTGCTACATCAATGAAAACTAATTGAACCGTACGTTTGACCAGTCTTTCAAGTTTCCCCAAGTAGTCTAGCTAAGCAAACCTTTTACCTTACTGACCTAAGTGATAAAATAGCACCGATGTTACTCGAATATACACATGAATCAAATGTAATATCCAAGAAAAAATCAGCTAACCTAAGACTGTATAGCATTTATTGTATGCACCATGAAGAATTGAGGCGGAATGGTGAGCATTCAAATGGAAACGTTCAGGTTGGGCTTCAAAAAAGCTAGTTTTATGTTGTTCTAAAGGCGCATCCTTTCATTTTTGAACCTTCAGATTAGTTTATTTTCTATCTTTTTTTTCAGGTGCTCCGAAAGATCATACGATTGTGGCAAGTTCCATGACCGCGTTGCCACGTACGCTTTTGACGATCACAATCCACCGCGAATGGAATTGATAAAGCCATTTTGCCAAGATGTGGATTCCTGGCTTTCCAAGGATCCCCGAAATGTGGCTGCAGTGCATTGCAAAGCAGGGAAAGGCAGAACGGGTGTGATGATCTGTTGCTATTTACTCCACCGGGGCATGTTCCTCTCCGCTGCTCAAGCTTTGGACTTCTACGGACAACAGCGTACTACTGACAACAGAGTTCGTTGAAGGTTTTGCGGTCTACAAGAAAGGGATCTATATCTTCTTTATTTTGAAGGGCGTGACGATTCCAAGTCAGAGGAGATACGTGGAGTACTACGGACGACTAGTGCGAGAGCCTAGTTTGGAATACAAACCGAGGACCGTCTACTTGGCCGCTGTCATTCTTACTCCTGTTCCCAACTTCAACACCCAGAATGGATGCTGTTCGTTAATTTCTTATTTGCAATCCTCTCAAATGATACAGCGTTCGCGTGATTAATTATAAGTGGTAGCAGTTTCATTCGCTCGCAATTTTTCCTTCAGTTTAGCTTGATATTGGAGTACAAATATGGCCATTTTGATTTAAACGTAATACATTTGAGGTATTAGTTGCTAGTATCTTCTGTTGTGTAGTGGCTGCTCCTCCGATCATCAAATTTATTCGTTCTGTGCAAGGGTTCTAACAGAAGTTCTCGGAATAGAAATTGAAATGGTGTATGATTGAGCTGAAAAAATTATTCTTGAGGGAAAACATATTCTTTGGCACAAAAAATCAGCCCTGTTCGAAACATTTTTTTGAATGTTTTGCAAAATTAACCATGGCAGAGTTTTGCTCTACATTCAAAAGATGAGGTGCCCTTCCTGCAGATTTTGTTGTAGCCAAGCTTTCCCCTCAGAATTCTTGAAATCAACGTGGCATTAATTCCTAGGGTTGCCTCCAGGTCTTCCAAGGTACATTTATTTCCTCCATTTTCATCAACAGCCGCCTTCACAGCTGCCACATTGGCGGTTACAACAACAAAATCGGCAGGAAGGGCGCCTCGTTTTTGGGTGGAGAGCAAATCTCTGCCACGGTGAATTGGCAAAATACTAAAAAAAAACTGTCAAACTGGGCTGATTTTTTGTGCCAAAGAATATTTTTTCCCGAAGAAATAATTTTTTCTGCTCATTTATATGCCATTCAATTTATATTCTGAGGACTTTCGGTTGAAACCTCGTATTACATTATAATGGGGAGTGCTGTAATATAAGACGGTAATTCAGTTTGATGAACGTTTTTTTGGAAGATCCGTTAAATTTAAGTAATTTTCAAGATAATTTGAGTTATTGTGACGCGACATCGAAATTTCGAGTTGGAGTTTTCTGCTACTTAGTGCTGTATATGTATATGGTACCGCTTCCAACGTGAATCTGTATCCTCAGTCTATTCGTCTAATTTGAAATTAGCATATGACTGTATGCGATTCAAAATTCCAATCAGGTGTATCATCCTTCCTACCATAGTACAGACTGGATTTTCTTCGATTTAATGCCTTCCTCCTCTTCCAGAACTTTGTTAATCCTATCTTCATTAAATTTCCCTCGTATGGTACGTGTATTCCACGCATTTATCCTTCCTTTCAAAACATATCTGTACGCTAAAGGAAATCCGCTTGAGCTGAAAAACGCTCGAGTACCACCAATGCTACGCTTACCACCCCTTGGAAAGTCCCATTTTGCAGTGTTTATCTTGTTTTCTGAACTGTTGACCCGAAGAGAATTTTTATTCAAATTTATCGTAGGATAATTTATTTTACTCCGACTAATTAACGCACTAATTCTGAAACTTTGATTTAACTTTGCAGGTGTTCAATTGGTGATCAATCAGCTGGATGAGGAAAAGCTGCGAGAAATCTTCGTGTGGGACAACATAGAGGCAAGGAAGGGAGATGGATGGATTCAATTTCTCGTCGACGAGCCCGTGCCCTTAACCGGTGATATTCGCGTTGAAGCCTTCAACAAAGCTTTAATGGGGAAGCGGGTGAGTTGGAGCGTGAAATGATTCAAAGGTTTTTCTCTAACAGGAAGCATAGTGGTGAAGGAACGAACTTCCGTCCAACATTTTCCAAAGATATTGAATAGTTCCAAACTGCAGATGATTGTTCTGATTTTGTGGTTCTGGTAACAAACGCCATGTCATATGTGCGTCATTGTGTGTGGACCCTGTAAAAATCAGTCTTTCGCGGGGTGAATGACATCGTTAAAAAATTGTTCCTTTAGGATAAAATGTTGCGCATCTGGTTCAACACGTTCTTCGTGGAACCGAACAAAGACGGGGACCTGATCGTGACACGCATTAGCTTAGACGGCGACTGGCGCAGCGCTCCTCTAGTTAAGCGCCAGGTGACGTCCCGTGTTAGTTGCAGTGACGTGGGCGCCCTCGCGACGGACGCCAAGGAGTGGAATGGCAGCGCTAATGGTGCCCAGGTGTTGGCGCACCGGAACTCTGATCCAGAAGGAACGCCGAGGGCTGCCCACTTGGCCAGCTCCACGTCGTCTTGTTCGTCGACGACGTCGAGTTCTTCAGGTGCTTCGCAACATTCGCATGACGGGCTTCACAAGCTTGTTCGTCGTCTCAAGTCTCCATTCGTTCATCGTGCCAACGACGGAAGGAGTACGCAAGAAAGAGCGAGGTATATTTTAAAAGGCTTTTAATCACACCTGGGGAAGGTTTCAGGAATAAATTCAGGCACTGTATTCGCCGTTCGTTCGGCGATGGTTTTGGTTTATTTTATGTCTACTACTGGTGTGAGGTATAATCGTTGTGTATCTTCGAATGTCTTGTTTCAACAGATCATACACATGTCCTTTGCCGCTCTCCCCGGTCCCGGCTGGCACTGAGGGTTCCTTCAAACCGTTGCAGTGTACTTCGCCGATCGTGGAGGGGGAAACCTGGCGCGAAGATAATAGCGAAGCATCGAAGGTGGTTCCTGCTCATCCAGAGATATCCATTATTACGCTGCCTATAACGAAAGAGAGGATGGACAAAGCCTGCAAGGACAGACACAACAAGAATTTTTCCAGCGAGTTTCGGGTAATCACGCCGTTTTTCATGTTTTAGGCGAAGTCATGTTTATTCTCGGATCCCTGACTTCTTAATTTCTTTGACGTTGCACAAGAATCCATCAGAATCGGCATTTTTTTCTTACTTGTACTGTATATCATCTGTCACGTGGAGAACCGGGAAAACTTGATCGCAATTATCTCGAGTGTTCTGTACATGACTTTTACCTTGCATGACATAGAGTGATCGTAATGAAAGCTACTCACATTTTTTTTAATCTTGAGGAAATCGCCTTTCAGCTGGATTTGTCTTGGCGGAAAAGGCCTACATGTATAGTAGTTGCAGCTTTCATTGTATTGTTCGCTTTTTTATTCTACAGGTGACGCTGTATTTGGCGGAAACGCATGAAGCGGCCTCAAAATGGCTGAAATCCGTATCAACTACGGGGACGGCGATGGCAACCGGCAACAAGACCCGTGCTCTGCGAAGGTGCGACACCACAAATTATTGCCCGAAGGAACAACCTGCACAGCGTCAGCAAACGCGTTCCGTGTCGGTCATAGCGGACCAGCGCCCAGCTGGCGCCACGGCGTCCAATTGGCCAGATTCGGACGAGCCCGTGACAGGCGAGTGGTGTAGCGACACTGCCTCTCGCTCCGACGCTCGGATCGCCAAGAAAAATCGTAACTCGCAAATCATAGAGGCGTTCCGAGAATTTTTCTATCGCGGCGACAGTACGCATCTGTAAGCTGATATATTTTGCGCGCTCGGGAACTTAATGGGCGGCCAACTCATCGTAAGCCGATTTTCGGATGTTGACTGTGTCTAGGAAAACCAACTCGTGGCTCTGAGAACGGAGGAATGACCAACGCATGGGTTTGCGTTTCTTTTTGCTTGCACTCGATTTAACTTTCTTATAAACTGATGGAAATATTATTTTTAGTATTTTTCCATAAGTGTGCCGCAATTCAGCAGATTATATTAACTTTTGTGGAAAGTTCTTTCCTTTCGCGTAAATTAATGGAAATCAGGATTTTGTTGTTCTGGAGACCACTTTGAAAGTAAAGTAGCTTCCTTCAGCTTGACGAGTTGGTGTTCTAGTCCACTTGTTCTTCCTGAAGTCGGTTTGATTCTTTGTGTGGTACCGATCTGGTTGACCTGTCACAAGTTTTGGCGGTACAAAAAGCCGAGTGGTTTGGCTTATGAGCATTTTTTCTTCCTTCCAAGCGCCAGGTTGTTGATTTTTACGCTGAGGGATGTTTTGTATGATTTTAGCCGCGAACGACACGGTTTTTTTCCGTTTTGCGATCTTTGTTTGTATTTAATTTTTGAAAGGCGCTGCACTGATACCGGTGTTGATGCAGAGAATTTTATTTTTATGGACGCTGCGGTTTTGCAAGCGAGGAGTCCACAAATTTACGAATTTCAGGTCTGGTTGTGAGACCTTTTTTATTTTAATTTTTGAGGAGGGGCAGGTGAGGAAGTGCTCGCCTTGACTCATGATGACCGCGAACTTTCCAAAGGCTAAAAGAAACGAATGGTTTTATTCATGGTTACTTTCAGAACAGGGTCGAGTCATAATCGGATTACGTCATGTGTTCTACGTTTTCGCTTCGAAGTGCGGACTGTTTTCGCGAATTAAATTATTCAGTGCCCTTGTTACCAATTATTATGAACAGAGTCGTGATCGGTCGTCGGCTCACTTCGGACTATTTTTCATTCAAGCCCTAGAAATTGTATTTGCCCCTGGATAGGTCATATCCCGGTTCAAATTCGATGCAATGCCTTTTTCTTTTGGATCGAGCCCGTTTATGTCATCGCCACGAAATCCACAGTAAGTCATGGCTTCCATCGCTGGAAGTTATTGCAGTTTTTCGATCTGCGCCGATTATTTTCGCGTTCCATTTTGTGAAAATCGGTCATCACGGGTTAATTTTCTCGTTTTCTAGTGCAGATTGATCTACGCGATTCTATGTTTTAGTTGGGACTCCTTTTCTATAATTTTTAATAATCGCTTTAATTGTGAAAATCAATTGATGAAGACGGTTCGTGGGATTCGCAACTGTTACGCCTAGTTTGTGACCAAGTTTGAACTTTGGAATGGGCGACGAAAGGTGAAATCCTCAGCAGTTCGAGTAAATTGGAGGGAAGCGTTCTGGAAGCTGAACACTGTCTCCGGCTTCCGAACTCAGGAAAACCGGGCATTTTTCAATGCAAGATGGGTGAATTCGAGCGTGTAATGACCGGCGATGAACTCCTGTCATATTTCTAATGCACCGGACTCGTAGAAATTTTGAGCGAAAAAAAAAAGAACTTATTTCAGTTTCTTGACATTCGGTCCGGAATTTGATGCAGGAGTCGCTGTCAAATCTTGATTGGTCGCCCTTCCGGATGAAGTGTTGGAATTTGTAGAAAGTCCAGTTTTTACTTACCTTCGAAGGATTGACGATGGGGGTTCAGTCGTTGAAGTTTGTGCAGTTCGTTGCACGATATTTTTATTCGTGACTGGGCAGTTCAGCGCGTCTTAAAACTGTGCGTCTCAAAACAGCTTGTGGCGAAAACAGTCCTTGTGCAAAGCAAACGCTCGGTGTCAGACAATGATTCAGACGTTTTCTGTTTATTGTGCGAGTTTATCCTAAATCAATTTGTAAAAGCGAAGAAAGTGGGTAACACTATCTCCAATTGTGCTTTCATAATGCTGTATTGTATATCTCTTACAATGCTTGTCACGAGGCGAACTGTTTTGGCACTGGGTGTTTCAAACGTGCTCGACTGTCCTGGCATCATTTTTATTTCGTTGTGAGTGGGTGTGGTGGGGAACTTCCGCGATGCGAACCAGGGTGAAGGGTCTGCTTGGAGTCCTCAGGGAAACTTTTTTTCATTGTCGTAAACCGTCGCCTATCCAAAGAAAGAGCGATGACGCGCAGTTACTTCGAAGTTTCAGCGTGCTGAAAATTCGAATGCTAGGTTTATTTTGGTTCAGTCGACCGAAAGTATTCTTTTTCGTCACGGAAGTACACCAATCAGGAGATCGATGCGCTGGGTTTTGCTTTTCTGATGTGAAAGCAATCGAGACAAACAAACGTCGTACAAGTTGAAAAGCCGGGTCCCTTGCCTAATGCTCTTCAATGTTTTCCGCAAGTGTATGTCTCGCTTGTTTGCCGTTGATTATTTGTCAGTTCGAATGCTTGATTGTGCTAGACGTATCTGTTGAATTGAATTTCGGAACTGGGCTTCTGTGCTTTCCAGCGATGTTTGCTCTCAGGATTTCGCTGCTAAAACCAGGTTTGCAACCGCACTCGTCCTGTCGGGAACTTGGTCATCCTGCCGGATGCAAGGAGACCTTCCCGCCCGAAAGTCCGCGTTTAAACCGGAACAGGATGCTCAGCCTCGGAAGCACGCCGGTAATTGGTTAGTGTGTCCGCGGCAGAAAATACGTTCTAGTCTTGCAACGCAATTTCGTGAGCCCCCAGGCGTTGCTATTTTTTAATGTGTAGCTGGTGGTGCAATCTATCTGATTTGGTGGAGCTGCGTGTCCCTTCCGGTGCAGCTATTTTCCCCTGGCGTCGCTGCTTGAGTTGCAAGAATCTTTTGCAGCTAACGATCGGAATTGTTCGGATAATTCCTTCGTTGATGTTCGTGATATCGACTGGATTTCTTCGTTTCGCTGATTTATTTTTTTACGCCGGGGAATGCTTAGTGGGTTCGAGGACTGCGGGACTGTCCGAGGAGCTGGGGAGGCGGTTGGAGTACTCAGTATTTTTCCAGTAGCTTTATGAGCAAAAAAATGTTTTCCCTGCCTTTGGGTTTCTTATATGCCATTATTAAATGTTTTTTTTGCCGGGCTGTTCGTGTAGAGGAGTGTTTTGGGATATCTTCTAATGAGGTGGAGCCACATGATTTTCGCGAAATGTCTGTGCAATATTACTGTATTTTCGAGCAGTTAACCTCAAGTTTAAATGATGAATATTGATTACTCGCGAATGTAGGCAATTTTTAATGAGTTCAAAAACTGGGATGCAGTCCATATTCGATATTTCCGTTCCGCTGGTAGACTTTCCCTGAATTTTTAAAATATCATCTGGGTGTTGCCTATATTTCAGTCAATACGGGTTAATAGATTATCTCTCATCTACGTGCATCACATCGTGGAAACGCTGATTTGATCGTATGAATCAAGAAACCTGTGCTGGTGCATTCTCTCTTACGGGTATGCGAAAAACTTTCGAGCTATGTCCCATGCATGGCCCTGTTCGGAGAACGCTCATCAGGTTCCTGGTCATGAGCGAGTTAATTGCTGGCCGCATGGTAAATTTAAGGTCCAAGCGTTGGAACATGTTTCAGTTTAGGGAATCACGCATTTTTCTACAGAATCCAACTTCGAAATGCTTTTCAACTCTCCTGTACGAGTCATTCACGGAAAATTCAGTGGCCTCCCCTTCGTAAAGATAGATGTACACGTTTCGGGTCTTATGTTGCACGGGGCGAAGCGATCGGGAATATTTTCGACGCCCTTTTTAAAATCGAACTGTAGACGATGGTTTGCATTTGCTCGTATGACGTGAAACATTTTCTCGCGGTTGAATTGCCGATGTGATGCATTCCTCCCGAACAAGGTTTCCTGAGCAAAATTTGGGGAATCTCGTTAACTGTGGCGACGCTTGTGAAATTTGGGAATGTATTTTCTAGGGACCCGAGTTCGATTCGGTCGATGAAAGAGAAGATTTACTGGTAGGATTAACCGCCAATACCGCATTGTTCCGGTCTCTTGAACCAGAGCATTGATTCGGGCAACAAGTTCAAAAAATGACGTTTTTACAGAGGTTTGTTTGTTTTTACGGATTCTCCGGCTGTGCGTGGCTGGTTGAGTGACTGGGTTGTGTGAGAGAGAGATTTGGGCGTTCCCGGCAATCGGACGAGCACCGTGCGTTTTGTCGAGAAGCTTATAACGGATGCTGGTTGGTTGGAGGAAACTTGGCGACGGCTACTTTTGCGTGGATTAAAAGACGAAACTCACTCAAAGGTTACCCAGCAGTACTGTCTGTCGGAATTCTCGGTTGAAGGCATGTTGTATTGCTTGAAACGATCCAAAAATTAATCTTTTTTGCTGCCGCTTCCTAATCCTACCAAAAATTTTCGACAAGTTGAGGATCTTGGGTTGTGAAGGGGGTGTAAATGTTCGAATTTGCGGATGTCTTCACTAATCGATCAAATGCTCGTCATGGACATGCTTCGTTTCCGAGTGTGAATCCGGTAAAGTAATCGTCGTCGCGTTTCTTACTCCTGCTGTGTCTCGGGTGCTGCTGGGAAAATCGTTCGGAAGAAATCAATGTCTGGCAGTCATTGTCCCAGAACGCTTCTGAATTGAAAACAAATTCACGAAGCTTAGGAGAGCCTCTTTGTGAGCGAATCTCGGCGCTGAAAACTGATTGTTGGGGATGTTTATGTGGATTGCATCGAACGTGTGGCTATTAGTGTACATAAATATTGATAGGCGCTGCTTGCTTAAGAATTCGGCGACGTGCGTTTTTCGCCTCCGTTGGCTCAACAAATGTAGTGTCCGTTTCAAGGAATCCTCTGAGTCCGAATTATGCTTCTCAAGTGTGCTGCCGTGGCAGAGTTGCTTACGACGAGATGCCGACGTGCGCTCCGCGTCTGCTCTGTTACCTCGATTGTTATTTTTCTTGAGTTGTGGTACAAAACACTATCTTTCATGAGAACGAGGAAACTTCATGGTTTATTTTAGGTTTTGTGGTTCTATCGTCGCTTCTATGTGAAGTTTTCGATCTCACCGTTCGGATGTCGAAAATGTGGAGAGTGGCTTCTTGAGGAACGAGTGAACAGAATTGAACGTTGGATTGGGGTTTGTTTGGAAACTTGGAAGCGAGAGAAGTTGGGAGAGAAATGAAGTTGGAGCTGTTTTTGTGTATTCATGTTGTTCAATTCACCGTTGCTAACCCGCATTCCAAGGTGCTTTTTCTGATGTCTCAGGATATTTATCCTGTTGGACTCAGCGACGTTGGGCTTTGATCTGGTCAAACGTAGGTTTCCGCCGAAAATTGAGCTGTCGTAGGGAAGTTCAGCGTGAAGATGTCCATTCAGTTGATCTCTACCTGTTGGGCTTATCGCTCTTTGACCATGGCGGACGCATGAGGGGGTGAAAGCGCGGGTTTCGCGCGCCGCGATCTTGCGTTGCTTGGTAACCCTGATTTTGCGGTCTTCTGCTCAAAGAATGGGTGTCAAATTTCCCGCGATTCGACACCGTGTGAAGTTGGAATCTACATTGGGTGAGTCTGGACTGGAGACGAAGTATTCAGGGACTTAGAAGGAAAGCCGGTTAAATTTCTCACCGATCGTAAAGCTTAGGTGTAATCATGTTCATGGAAGTACAGTACTGTATCCTTACGCTTAAAAGGTCATGTACGGATGGAGGGATCTTCCGTTGTTCCTGTCAGGATAAAATCTGATGATGTTAGTAAAATGAAGTTTTCAATGCAGGGCGCGGGCCGAATCTCATTTTTGCGAGTTGCGATGTTCCCCGCTTTTGGACGGCGACAGATTGAGGAGGGCGTTCGGAGCTGGAGTTTCGACGCTGAAGGTCAAGGTTTACTCGTGATTGATTGCGTCGCGACTGTTGCCGCGGGGTTACCATGTTTGTATCTGTGTCGATTTGGGAGCTATGGTTCCGCTCACAAATGCGAACGATAAGTCTTCATTGCACTGATTTTCTTTGTGTGGAATATCCGTATGTACGGTACTGCTAATTGGAACGGGGCCGTCCTGGATAGACTGTGGACTTCTTATGCAGCGTGTTGTGATCTTGCTCTTATGTATCCATCTTTCGCCGTGTGGCGCGCGGAGTGGATGAAAGTCAGTTTCAGGCTTTTCTTAATGGCTGGAATGAATATGAGCATGGATGGTGGAATCATAACCATCCTGCTTCCCGTTGATCGACAGAAGTTACATGATTGGCTGGAAGAAAGGGGTAAGTCTCCTGCTTCTCAATAAATGCATGTATTCACACCCTTGTTCCGTTTCCTGTAGACGACAATATTGATGGTGCCTCCAAGGCGAGGGCATTCTTCGACTCGGTGAGGATCTCGTAATGGTTTTGGGATCCAGTAGAAGGCTCGAAGAGAATTTTTAATTTTGCGGGAAGCGAATGTTTCTGATTAAATTTTCAGTTGTTCAGTCATTCTATTTTCGCCTTCCGATCTATACCTGGGGTCTCACTGGGCTTAGGTTTGTGCCGAAACTGGTGTGTCCGTAAGGTGGCCTCTGGCATTACGAGCTGTTTCTAAGCGGAAGAAGAGTGAGTTTACCTGTTGCTGACAAGGGCTGGATTTTTGCCTCGTGTTGATGTAATCACCATTTTTTGCCCTTTTATCTGTACTGGCACAATCCTTCGACCGGTCTTGTTATTGTCTTTTATTTCTTTTGTTGTTACGAATCTTGTATTTTTTAATTCCGGTTCACAAAAGGGCTTTCCGCAAGCTTTTTATTCTTTTTCTTCCGTTTGGGGTATTAGCGTTGATCTTTTCATTGATATTTGTTTTTGCTTGATCTTGTTCTGGACTTTTTTCTCGTCTCTGTTCAAGGTGAACGTTAGTGATCTCAGCTGATTTGATCAGTTATAAAAGACTTCGTGTTGTTTGTTAGCAATCAGTTGCGCGAGACTCCATGCGCTGAGCACTTCAGACCGTGAACGCGTTACTCACGAATGACGATCAAACCAGTTGAATTAGTGATATTTGTCTTTTAACCCTCGCACGATTCCTGAAATCAACGTGTGATTTTGAGCTGCTGGACTCCAGACGCGTCTCAGTGAGCGAATTGTAGTTTTAGCACTGCATTTCGCTCTTTCACATCGACCACTTTGCAGCACGATACTCACTCGACCTAAGTTAGATTCCACGGACCATGGCTTACAATCCGAGAGCCTACACTTCTCTTATTTCCGGTCTGTGTTGATGATCAAGTCCTGGTCGTTCATACGCTGATGCTCTCCATCTTCCCGCAGACCCATGTCTTCAGGTAACGGGTGCAGCTGACTCCATCTCCCTGGCTTCGGACCGAATTCTCGGAGAGTTGGAGCCGTTGGTGAGTTCGCTTCCTGAAGAAATTTTCGAGTCTTGAGCGTATACATTCTGATGAGGAAGTAATCTTGGTTTAAGCATTGATTCTCGCGAAGAACCTTCTTAAGTTGTTAAATTTGAATGTATGTCCCTCTTTTTTAAATAAGTGTAATAATGATTTCTTTGTAGTAACTTCGCATTTGCCTGATAATTTGTGCTTAGATGTTAATTGATATTGCCATGTGATATTTCACCGGTGCCTATGCTTCCGTGTTTCAAATTAATTTTTGATTGTACAAATGATTCGTCATCTCTTCTCTCCAAATATTTTTTCACCGATTGAACCGACTGAGAGTTAGCTTTTCTACCTCCACAATTTTCAGAGTAATCCCAATCGAGTAAGTTTAAAAATGGAAGTTAGCTGGACCGAACACAGCCATATAATTGGACGTGAGGGGCGCAGCATCAAATCTGTCTCCACTGTGACGAATTGCCATATTCATTTTCCGGACTCAAACCGCTTCTCCGAGACTGAGAAGTGCAATCAAGTCAGCATTGCCGGTGATCCACAAAATGTTGAAACTGCTCGTGCCCAAGTTAGGGTAAGACGGCAGCATATTCATGTTCTATTCACGTGATCGATCAATAATTTTCTGCAGAATTTGTCGCCGTTGATATTCGCGTTTGAAGTACCCTTCTCTACGGATATTCAAGCCATCTTGGAATCGAAACAATCTCCTCAGATGTTGTACATCCAGAGTACCTTCAATGTTCAGATCATTGTAAGGAATAAGGGTCGTCCTGGAACTGTTGCTCTCGTCAAAGGTAACGCGTGGGAGCTAGAGAAAGTCAAAATTGCTACTCGTGCTCTGATGAACCATCTGTGTCAGGTACAGTCATTCTGCTTCTTGAACATGTGCCTATGAAGGAATTCAGTAATTTTCTGTTGTACTTTCCAATTTAACCTAACCTGCATGACGGCGAGTAAAATGTAATCCCACTGAAGGTGATCGCGGGAGGGGGAAAAAAGTGAACGATATATTTCAGGCTTTAATTAAGGCTGTGAGTGCCTTTTCACTTGCATGTTTTCTTTTTCTGCGAAGGAAATGTACGGAATTATTCTTGGTAATTATGTGCGGTACTTCGATAACTGACTTTTTGTCTGTAGGGGGAATCAGAGGTCATGATGTACATGGAGATTTCGCCGCATTATCACAGTTCGGTGCTTGGAAACAATGGGGCCAGTTTGGTCCGCGCAATTATGGCCGTGACGGGAACCATGATATCCTGGCCTAATTTGTCTGACACGTCGTTGCATCCCTTGCGCAAGTCGACTTTCGTAGTGTCCGGTCTCATCGATAAGGTTTTTCTTGCACGTGAAATGTTATTGGTGAGTTATTGCTCGTAAAGAAATTTGAAATTTCTGTTGTCTTCGAAGTTAGATTAAAAATGTCAGGCCTCACACATAAATAACTGCTAGAAGTTTTGATGCGAAACTCTGAAGTGCAATTGTTTCCAAGGAGGATTAGGACCGAGATCCGTAAGAATTCTACAGTATTTTTTAGTACGATTGCCTGTTCTCTTTTCTTTTTTTCTTAGTGACTTATTGAAGTCTCAAATTAATCTTCAATTTTAGCGGCGAATTCATGTGCACTCTTCATAATCAACTTCAAATTTTCGCAGGGTTCTTTGCCTTTGATTTTGATGTCGGACTTGCCGCCTGGTATGGAGCTGGACGTTGACCAGGTGCAGCATGTGATGACTTCGATGAAGGTGACCGTGTCAACTCGCCCGAAGAACAAGAACGGCGTTTTGCATCGTACGCTTGTGATCCGTGGCGTAGAGCGTTTTGCGGACCGTCTGTACGAAGCGCGACGAGTTTTACTCGGATTGCCGGTCGACGCCCGTGTGCACACTCATATTCCGGAGTCGTACCACGTTCCTCCGCTGCCACCGAGTATTCCGCTACAGGGACCAAGCTCTGTAGTGCAGATACAGTCCTCTGGAGGCATGCATTACGGGCGATTCACGCCGGATCCACCTTCTGGCGGTCTGATGAGCTGGTATCCTCCCCCAACTCCGCCTGCGGGTACGGCTCTTGTGCCTGGATTCCCATTCTTTTCTCTCTCGGGATCCCCGGAACAAGAAAAGATGTTCAATCCACTGGGTTCGGCAGATCGCAGGATTGTCAACTCTGCGTCGAAGAATGTTTATCCTGGTATTGTCGAGTGTTAATTGCGTTTCGATTAGGAACTTGAATATTTTGATTTGCAGTCATGAATGGATCACCGGAATGGAACAATGCGGATCACATGAATTCCAATTACTCTGCTGCTGCTGGACTAGACTCGGGTACTTCTAGTAGTTTTTCTTCTTCGGGATATTCGTTGTTCTCCTCGTCGATGACATCGAATGGCGGCGTAACGTCGTCACGTGAGTTTCTGAAAATTGTTGCCTTTTTTGTGCGTTGTGTACTTTCATCTCGAAATAGTTAACGGTGTGACTCGAGCATATTTAGTACGACAGCACTTCATGTGTTACAATCCTGCCTGACCAATAGGCGAGGCATACGATGTGGAAGCGTGGCAATCCTTTCTCCGGAAGTAATTTCTTATCTAATCCATTTGTAAGTGGGGTCGTGATTCCAATTTTCTAGTTTACCAGGCTTATACTAAACCCCATTATGTTAGGTTGTGAAGTAAAGCACCTAAATTCGCTGTGTGTAAGAAAATTGAGGCCTGTCGTATGTCTGAATTAATTTTCCGAAGCTAAATTTTGAATCTCCTACAGTTCGTTTACCCCAGTCTAATGGATGCGACAATAATTCCTTCGCGGCGAATGAGGGATTGATGAATGCTGGGATGGACCGGGTAATAGACTATAACGCGAGAAAAGCGATGGCTAGCCGAGGTAAAAATTGCGTTCTTCATACTTCGTATGGCTCGTATTTTTATTTGTGGGACCCTTGTTTCCAGCGATGAGTCAAGAAGTTAGTCCAGATGTCCCAAGAACTCCGACTGCATCATGGAGTGGAATGGGTTTCTCTAAGTCTCATTCTGCACTCATGGCTATGAATCGTTTCGGATGTTACGCTTCTGAGGAGAAACCGAAGGGTGGCGATAAATATGACATAAATGGTTCGGGGAGAACTTCGAAGAACGTGAGTTGCTATCATTAGAGGTACAATTCGTTTCTGCAGCTTTTTTAAAGGTTACGGTAGACCTTCTACTTACGTACCAGCAGTTCGCTTATGAAATCACTTATTAGAATGTTTCATCTCTCGGTTAATGCGCTAGAGTCGCTTGATGACGATTTTCGGTCCCTTTTTATGCACTGATGTGAACTGAAATCTATAGTTCAGAAATCTGTTATTTCAGGAAGAAGACAAGCGAGAAATGTCGCCGATTCCGGAAAGCCGGTCTAACGTGTCTTGTCGCGTTTCCAATACGTCTGGTAGTCTGAGCTCTATGGGCTCAGTGGCTTCTTCGCAGACTCTAATGGGTTCCTATGCCGATCGTGGGTCTTCGGCGGACTATCGCTCTTCTTGGTCAGACTGGGAAAACGACGAAAGCTCTGCGACTGATCTGTTCCGTCAAGGGACGCCGACGAATTCGACTGGCGATGACAAGATCGACTCTAATCTGAGTTCCGCTATGAGCTCCTTGACTCTTTCGAGGGCCATGGATTCGAACAACAATACCAGCTCGGCTGAGCAGACGAAGGCTCCTGTCAAGACGGAATCGAATTTCATTCCGCGACAGCACATTTCCTTCAGTGCTTCTAATATGATGGACGCTGTGGTGCCGATGCCTAGGACTTTCTCCGGCGAGCTTCAGGATTTATGCAGCGTGTTAACCCATTTGAATCTCAGCAAATACATTGGTGAGAAGTCAGAACGATATCTTACGTTTCCTTTGCCAATTTTCTCGAACTAGTTAAATTTCTTTTTCTCTTAAAAAGTAAAATGATCTGATTCTGTAATTTGTTTACGCATACGAATATAAATTATTTTTCAGAGTCATTCCGTTCCCAGGATATTGACTTGCAAACGTTCATAACTCTGACTGAAGACGACTTGGTGCGTCTTGGCATTTCTACTTTCGGCGCTCGTCGGAAAATCTTAGTCGCTATTCAAGGTAAGTGTCGCACATTTTTGGTTGCCGAACAAACTAGTATGTCTCATTCTTCGTCAGAGTTGCGGAAGCAAGGTCCTGTGTTTTGTGGAAGTGCTGCTGTTGGGGCCGAACGTCGACCATCTGTGGTTTGAAGATTATTTTTTCTGATGAGCGAACCGCGGAACAAAGAAGGGTATAAATTTTTTTTCGTGATGTGTGTGCCTCATGTGCTTCGTATCTCCCTGTGGTTAAGGATCTTTCGTTGGTGAGTGCTTCGGTTAACTTACACGTTCAACGCTTGTCGAAAGGGTTTTTGTTGTCGGTTGTTGAACGAGATTCCGGCTGTTGAATTCTCAAATCTCGAAAGATGCATGAGGTGTGTTACAAATTTTTTTTTTTTTTTTTTTGGATGAGAAACCGAGGTCAGCGAATCTCTGTATGAGGAATATTCAAGAAGTCATGGGGAAAATTGAACAATTCGTGAATCTCTCGTTGAGCTGTGAAAAATGGTTTTCTTCGTTTTAGTTGAGCGTTGTTACTGAAAATTTTGAAAAAGCGTGATGAGTAGTATCTCGGTTCGAGCTTTAAAAGGAGGTTCGTTTTCTAAGATCCAAATGTGGATGTACAGTATTTGATCGCTGCTTCTTATGAAAGGAAGAGAGTTCATGGTCCAGGAAACTGCAAGTAATCGCAGTTTTCATTGGATAATTGACGGCTTCGACCAGCGGAAGTATCAGGAAGTATTCACGGGTTCAGATAAGTCTCAAAAATTCTTTTCTGTATATTGACTTCATGTTATCCATATTTTCATCTAAAGATTTTGATCAGAGAATCGCATCGATCATAGTTTGAATCTCTCTTATTCCTATTTTTGAAATATGTGATGTACTGTTAGGTGATAAGTGATTCTCGAGGCCTTCGTAGGTGTGAAAAGAGTGCGATGCTGCGGTATAGATTCGAATCTGCTATGTTGAGGTCATAACGTACGTCAAGTGTTCGGACCAGTTCGTTGAGTCGGGATTTTTTGTTTTGTTACCTGGGTTCAAGTCTTTTTTTTTTTCGTGTGTCGGGAAAATTTGTGCCTTCGGATAAACAAGATATCAGCAAACCTAATGGGTTTTATTTTTATTCTTCTGATAATATGAGTATGAAATCGTGTTTCTAAAAAGTATTCAGTGACCTGGGTAGAAGTAAGTTGAACTTATTTCTTCCTATGATAGGAGTAATTACGCTCAAATTTTAGTTGTATCATGAAATTTGGGGTACCTCATTTACTCTAGTACCGCGCGTCTCTGAACATGATCCGCACCTTTGAATTGCAGGTGAAATTTTGGGAAAAACCTGCCCACGCTGAAGCCTCGCGCCTTAATTTCCTGTTGAATTGAAGTCGATGGAGATTGTTTCGCACAATTGATATTTAATCGGAGAATTCTTGAAAAGTTCCAAACTTTTAAAAACGTTTTCTTCATTGAAATTTTAAACCCGACTATAATGCGCCCCTCATATTTTACCTCAAATTATTCAAGATTGGTTCGTTGAGTGAAAATATTTGTTCAGTTGTTGCAGTACAGTATTAACAGATCTTCGTCCCAATATATTTTTCTGAATCCTGTACGGATTCGTACAATCCAATATGAGGGCTCCTCTGGTATAGTGTAGAACGCATTCAAGCATAAGGAACATGTGTTACGACTTGATTGGTTGTGGGGAGTTTGAGTTTGCCTGAAATTGGAAGAAAATAAGACTTGTTTTGATGATGTTGCAGCATGAGTGTAAGAGCGAGATCTGAGTGAACTCTTCTATTCGCGGAGGAAGGTCCTAAGTCCCCTATACACGTACCCGCTCAGGTCAGCGCGTGGAACGCCCTTCGGCTGGCTGCGAGGTGCGGACTGGAAACCCTTCATTTCCTCCCCCGCTGTAATCATCTTGATTATACATTGCAAGGTAGTCTTTTTCATGTTTTCTTCGTGTACGTGACTCCTCCTCACAGCCGGGTTCATCAGCCGTCTCCGATTGATTTTGACGCAGCTGATGCTTTGTATTATTTATGCATTTTTATTCCAGGTTCTGTTAATGGTCGTGGAACGATGTGCCACTTCGGGTGGAAGTGTCGAGCCCGTATTTCTGCAACCTATTTTTTTTTTGTCGGAAGACCACTATAAATTTGTTTGGGTTAAATAGCATTTCTTGTTATTCAAGTCTAGTATTGAGAGTAAGGCGTCATTTTTTATGAAGCTTTTCAGCTGACTTCATGTTCGTACGTTCTTTCATGACGTAATTTTAGAAAAAATTCAACTGTGAAATCTTTTTTGAAAAAATTAGACGGAAATGTGTCATATTTTCGGAAGACTAATGTGCAATCACCGCAATGCGTACCAAACTGCAGAGGGTGGTTCATTCTATCATTTTGTCATGTGAAAATGGCAGGAAATTGAAAAGGGGGGCCAAGTCTTCTTTTTTAGGAAAACATTGAATTAATCGCTTTTCAAATCAAATAGGCGTGCAATTGTAGGCAGCCCAAATTTCTGAGTGGAATTTGGATTTAATCGTATTTTCGGTACCTTAGACGGACGTTGATTGAAATTTATTGGAACTGTGGGATTAATTTGAATGAATGCACCACATTTCTTGGCCAAGAGAGGTTCGCATGAAAAATTTCAGGACGCAGAAGTGCAACATTCAAATGGGTGTTGTTCCTTGTTGCTCAACTCGCGATTAATTTTGACGCTGAGGAAGATTTATTCCCTTGTGCAGAAAAGTTAATGCTGTTGAATCGACCGGTTAATTGCTCTGCTTGGTCTCCAGAAATGGAAGATAATGTGCGCATGGTATTTTGAAGTGCTAATATTCAATCATCTAAAGTGGTCCTATTTCTGCCTACGCGACACGACACCACCTGCGCAGAATCGTTAAAGCTGCCCGCGCTGTGAAGTGCATGAATAGTGGCAAATATTCTGGAAATCAGATTTTTTAAAATTCATTTTCGGCACCAAGATCAGAATTTTATAGTTGATGCTTTTCGAGTCGATGGAATATTTCTGGGCAGAAATGTGCTTCTGCGCAACCCGATTTATTTTCAGTGTCAATTCCTTGCCACGATCGAGAAATTGGTTTTTTTTAAAGCTTTTCATCTAAACTACCGTGGTCTTTTCGCAACACAACCATGGCATTTTCGCCTGCAAGAGTTGAATGCTCTTTTCAATCTTCTGAAATTTTTTGCCCACTGGTGCAGTTCTCTCTTATACAAATTTGAATTCCGAACTCCTTAATTGTGAGAATTGTTTTTTATTGTGTTATCCCGGCTGGATTTCCTTAGTTGTCAGCAGATTCTCCATTATATAGTTATGATGGATGGTGAATGTCGTATGCATAAATGTTCATGCTCGATCTCAATCAATTTTTGTTAACTCTGTATCTATTATTTGAGTGGAGAGTATTATTCTGCAAATACGCTTTTCCGGTAATACATGAAATAGTGAGGCAAATGAAAACGGGAAAATGTTTTCAGAATCACCTTCACGATGCAAGTGCATGCAAAATGACAACCGCTGCTTCACGAAAAAAAAAAAAGTTTCTCTTGACCTCTTTTGGAGAGAAAATCTCATCACGGGCAGGTATATGCAGATCGGGATATCGTGTGCGTGATCCTCCCGAGACCAGCGATTTCTGTTGCTTCATTTACCGACCCAGTACTGGTTTCTTTTGTGCTAGGAAAAGAAGGGCCGATTCCCTTATCCGTCGCCCACCACACAGGCCCTCCAGCTTGCTTCATTTCCCTGTTATTCGAGCCTTGGCGAGTTGAGAGCGTTAATTTCATCAGTACCCATGCAGAACCTGTCCTTTGTGTGCCGGCTTTTCAAAAGCTGGGCCCGGGTGGAGGCGAGGTCGGCCGCACACTCCAGTCGTGAGTGGATCCCGTCGATGCTTTTATTTATTTTGATTTCCTGTAAAAGCCGTTTGTTCTGTGAGATACTTTTCGGTTGCCTCGTTTCAATCTCACTTGTAATACGTAGGAGTAAGAGGTCATGTAAACGCGGTCCAGAATGTGCATGAGAATGGAATATCAGTTGGTGTTGTGAAAAAAAAAAAATAGTACGTGTTGAAAATGGGTGATGTAAAATGCAACACATCGCCTGAAGATTATCTATTCAAGTACCCTAAAATCATTTTGATTTTGATCATCATATGGAAGAAATTTTTCTCAGAATTTTTTCAGATCAATAACTTGGTCGAAGTGCATCTTTGTTCGGGATTGAAAGGTACTGTTCATCAGTGAGGCCCCGACATGCGGACGTGAGTGGCGCTTGAAACTTGTGCCTGGACGGAATGTCTGACTTGACTGGGAATAAATGTAAACACTTCACCTAAAAAGTGTGAAGGGTTCTCCTTTGATAAAAGGTAAATTTGCCCCAAAGAAAACTGATTAAAATTATTTTTCCTCAATTTCAAGAAATTACAATAACAGGGCAGCAGAAAATAACCACACGTAATTCAATCTTGTGGCATGAAAAAAGGAGCCCAAAAAGCAACAAGCGGAAGTTTTCCATCACGCTCTGAGCTCAGATGCAATGGAAAGAACTCTGAAAAATGGAAAACGAATCGCAAAATTAGCCTGTTTTTGATCAAATGAATTTCATTATAAATTTACTATATTTAATACTTCTGTAAACATGAAATAGCTCAATTTTCTCAAGAGATGTCAAAATTTTGAACAGGAAATCATCAATTCGTCCAGGAAGGGTGAAAAGTCCAATCGTCCGTAGGTCGGGGTCCCTCTTTAATTCTGTATCCGATCGTGATTTTTCACGAGAAAACTTTCTCTCAATCTTGTATTCGCATAAAAGCGTCGTGATGTAATTTTCTTTCATTTTTTGGTATGCTCATATTGAAAATGCTCTTCTGAAACGCGCCCGAGTGCCCAACACACTTCCAGATCCAAAAATCGAATGCCTGAGAAATTTTGAGCGCCATCAAAGCGTATCTTTCTATAGAAATTCTACGGAAAGTTTTGAATGTGTAGATTGCACGGTTTCCTTTGAGCTCTGTTAATTGCATTTCACTCACAAAGCGCTCATTAATTTCCTGCTGTTTTTGTTGCTCTTGCGACACCAGGAGCAATACGTTACAATACAGTTCTGTAGAATGTCTTTGTACCAAGAAAAATGTTGAGAAATTATGCATACTTCCAGCTGTGGAAATATTTGAATGTTCAACCTTTTTGTTATTTTTTTATTTGTAGTGATACGAACTTCTGTTCGGTGATCAACTGCAGTGAAATTCTGATCCAATAAATCTCGTCGTAAAAAATTTGTTATTGCGTAGTTTTTTCTTGCTCCCGGCAGTTTCTCCATGTGTGCAAAAAGCTCATAAAAAGCTCATGCTAACGAACTCAATTTCGGCTGTGATCGATCTTAGCATTGAAAAATCTTGGCCCTGATTCTCTGCTCAAGTCATAGGTAATATGATAAATGGCAAAACATGAACTGGTACCGAATTCAAACTTCATCAAGGAAGCAAACATTTCTTTCGAAAAAATATCTAGTGGTCAAAAATACCCAATATTGCATATTTCACGGAAATTTTTCAGCGCCATTTCAGAACATACACGCCCTTCAAATGAATACAGTATAGTTCGTTGAGAAGAATTTTGCATTGGGCATTTCCAGAATGGGTTCCCATCACCCATTTCCCACAAAATTCCAGTCTAAAATGAGCTAAAGCCCATGAATCTTGATAACACAATTTTTATTGTAACGATTTTTATCTGGTCCCCGGGGAGTTCGTTGTGCCGATGATTTTAATGCATAGAAATGACAGTTCATTGAGTTCGTTTGATTCAGTTGGGCGATGACGAGTTCTCACGACGCAGAATCGATTTCAGCGCTGAATTGACCCAGCATATCGGGTCTGAATCTGAAGCCAGATTGGTAAAGCGTGCCGGAAATTCGTGAGGATGGGTCAGTTTTGCGTCGGGATTCGGGTTCCACGAGAGTTACTTACTGCTGATCGCTCCACGCCCCTCATAATCCAGGGCCGGTTGATCATTATCAGCAATAACTGGATTCGACGGTCGGAAAAGCAGCAGCTTTCAACGCTGTTACGTGGCCCAGTCA